GAATAGTGATTATAGAACCTCGACTATGCCTATGTCCGCCTACGTTCCTTTTGTCAAGCCCTTCAGTAAACCCATTGAGAAGGGAGTGCCATTCAAACGGTAACAATTTTTATATATTCGTACTATTATTAACATGCCTGTATGGACGTGTGTACTCGATCAATTGTTACAGCCCATACACACATTCCCCTTACTAGCCTAAATATTAGTTGCTTAAATCGCCCGATGAGTCATGCACTTAGTTATACACATGTGTTTGAATACTATCAATCCACCCGACTCTTAATTTGTCACTGTATTTGCTTGCTCTTATCGTCAACCGAGATCAAACAACAAAAGCCCCGACAAGGAAGATCGAAGAACAAAGTGCGGTTAAAAGAGGTCGAACAAATGAGCCTCGTTTGAAGTGAATCATCCGCATGAGAGTTTACCTTATCTAGTGAGGTGTTACATTTCCTATCGCCAGCTTGAACGGACCAAATAAAAACTGAAAAAACAGTCTATCTGTTTAAGTACATAGGTGCTTGAAATATTTGACATGTTCAATGGTAATAAACAAAAGCAGAGTACGATATGACTGAAGGGATACAACTAGGACGAAATAATATCAGTATTGTGTTGTTTTCAGAATCATTTTTGATAGTAAAAAGGTTTGATAAATATTAAACTAGAATCAACAGCAACCGTATTAATACACATCAGAATGTGTAGTCATTGAACTGGAATATAGTAATTCCGGATGGAGTTGGACTTGTCCAATCTACATTGTGTTAAAGTGTGTATTAAATGTCAAGACTGATACTTAGTCAGCAATTCTAAAATATTATTTGACCAGTTTATTGTTATGATTTAGATATGAACAGATAAGCAAACAATGAAGTATAGAAAGGATACCTATATTAAATATTTAGAGTAATCACAATACTGAGAAACATTTTGCTGATTGAGTTCTTCTGCAAACTACCAAATCTGAGGTATGGGTTATAACGGTTGAAGTGATCGAGGAATTATGATGTCATTCGTATATATTCTGCACCGAATAATGCATTTGTCATATGTCAGCACCTGCAGGTGACTCATGCTGAATAGTCTCATATAAATGAGACATGTGAATATTGCTGCTAACCAAAACCAGGTATTATCGACATCCCAACAAATAATTCATTTGTAAAGGTTGTTTAATTCTTCCAGCTGTTAATGTCCGACTGGAACTGATCAGTCTCACCATATTCGCATCCTGTGTAGATTGCCTTTGTATCGCCTATAATCTACTAGCATTTTGTGCGGAGTTGGATAGTGAATAGCAGTGGGATCCAGGACACGCGTTTCGACATATGCGGTCTGATTCACTCGTATATAAACTGAGTATGTCTGAAATGCATGGTTCATACAGTGGAAGCTAGGATTGTGTTCTGGACTCAGCGAACAGGGCTAGGCTAGAAGGCTCAATAAAGATCCAGAGTTAGCCCGAGGCTGCTCGTGCTGGTTAAAGCGCCATTGGTTTGGCACAGGGTGACGGTCGTATAAGTCGGTGTTCTGATTATCGATCTCGTCACGTGATAAGTAACAGTGCGAAAGACATAACAAACTCAATATGCCAGAAGGTGCTCGACGGCAGGAGCCATCAGCACAGATAATAGATTACCCACTGTGAACTTAGACAAGATCATGAGAAGGAAAAAAATAAAACAGCCGTTAACAAGAGCCGAACAGCAGCAAAGAAAGCCGAAGCACATTGCGAGTATACAGAAGCGAACGATTGGGTGGAAGGGAGCATGGGGGTTGACAATCAAAAATATGTAGAGAAACTGGCAATTACGGTCGAACAAGCAGCTAAGAAAGAAAACACGCGAGAAGTATACAATACATTCAGGAAGCTTGCAGGGAAATGTAGTAGACCAGAACAACCAGCCAAAAACAAGAGGGATCACCAACGAATGAGGTACAAGGGCAGTTGGACGGGTGGGTAGATCCCCTTGAATAACCCCTGAATAGACCAGCGTCACTGAACCCATTGAACATCAAGGTAGCACACACAGACATCCCTATACATGATACCTCACTAATAATCGAAGAATTCAGCACGGTTATCAGACAAATCAGAAACGTTAAAGTAGAATGACCCTCATATCATTCCGGTTGATCCATTAAATTCAGATATTGAGGTGAATGTGAAGATGCTCCACATTCTCCGCAGGAAGAGCTAAGAAGAATAAGTGCCATCAGACTGAAAAGAGAGATTCTCCTGAAAAATACCGAAGAGGGGAGATCTAAGTGAGTGTTATAACTACATAGCAATCAAATTACCGTCAGTACCAAGCAGAGTTTTCAATGGAATTTTGCTGAACCGAATGTAAGGTTCAGTAGACGCCCACTACAATCACCATCAGAAAAGCACATTTATGAAGAGCTATCTACTCAAGATACTCCAGCTCCGTTGGACATTGATCGTCACCAACAACCCACTCTGACAGCAAATAAACAAGCTTCTATTTGAGAAGGATGTTAGGAAAAATCACTGGGGGTGTATAGAACACACTTTATAGAAAATTGAGAAATAGACTAAAGGGCATGAACTGATTTCAGGCAGTTATACAACTGGGTAACTCAAACGTACATACCCTGGACAGTCTTAAAGAAGAAGAAACACAGCCATCCCTGTGTAGGCTTGAATATTCGATGATTACTAAGACAAAAGAAGAATTGTCGGAATGTCGCCACCAGCGTTGGCACAGCAGGTACCACGGAACGCTACAGATCTGTAAGAAACACGTTTATAATTAAAATCCGGGAAGCTCAGATAAAATATGAAATCCATTTCACATAATCTGCACTCAAGCAGCCTAAGAGAATACTCTGGCACGTAAATTACAGAACAGGGGTGCATCATTGTATTCCCACCCTTATTAAGGAAGGAAGTGAATCTGATGTTATAGAGGAAGATCGGGGAAAAGCAAAGACTATTGATAACTATTTTGTGGCAGTTTTCACTCAGGAACCTCTTCTAGACAAAGAACCAGACCCAAATACAGAGTTAACAAACCACCTTCTCACCGTGGACTTTCATCAAGAAGATATATTTAGGGCTCTTAGCACCTTAGACATGGAAAAGTAAATAGGTTTAGATGAACTACACCCCAAAATCTTGAGACATACTACACAATATATCGCAGCCTTACTGTTATTCAATATGTCACTTGACCAAGGTGTATTACCTATGGACTGGAAGGACGCAATCGTCAATCCTATACATAAAAGAGGACCAAGACAACTTCCATCGAACTACAGACCTGTAAGCTTCACCAGTGTTGTAGTTAAAATCTTGGAAATAATAGCCAAACAGACGATAATGACATTCGTGGAAATCAATAACCTGTTAAACAACAAACAAAATGGTTCCAAAAGGATTTATATTGTACAACGAACCTCCTTATAGCAAGGGGATATTGGATAAAGGTTTAAGATAACGGAAAATGAGTGGATGTTGTCTACAAAGACTTCAGTAAGGCATTTGACAAGGTGCCAACTAATAAACTGCCATTGAAGTTAGAAAATCTTGGTATTGCCGGACCTATTTGAAACATATTAAAGATTCCCCAGTGGGTCGTAGGCAGAAAGTAAGAATAAATTCGAAGTGCTCCACCTGAAGACCAGTAATTAATGGTGTAACTCAAGGTTCTATCCTATGTCCTTAACTTTTTATACTGTATTTAAATGATCTCTCAAGTATAGTACAGTCGCCAATGTTATTATATGCTGGCGATGTATACATCTGGCGAGTAATAATCGGAGACTTAGATGCATGCGCACTTCAGACAAAATTAAATAATGTGATTAATTTGTCTGAAGAGTGACTGATGACTATCAACGCGGCAAAATGTGTCTTCATGCACTTTGGGGACTCAAACATGATAGGTACAACATAAGGGAAGTGTCATTACCCGTGGTCCGGTCTCATAAGGACCTAGGAGTGACAATGAGTCATAATCTTAAGACGACGGCCCATTGCCGGAAGGTTGCAGCTAGGGGGTTTCGAACCCCCCTGGGCCTTAAAACGGACACTCACTAAGTTAGATACTACCACGTTCACCACAGTATACACATCCTTAGTGAGAACTAAGCGTGAGAACTGCGTTCAGGCTGCAAGCCTCTGTTTAAAAGGTGACTCGGATATTCTAGAAAAAGTACAGAGGGTGGGTACCCATGCAATTCCGGAACTCCGGGTCTTATCATACAAAGAACGGCTTGAAAAGCTGGACCTCTTTACTCTGCCATATCGCAGATTAAGGGGAGATCTAATTTTGATGTACAGAATACTGAGAAATGATTTTGGATCCAACTTATTCTCTTTTTTTCTTCACACTAGATCGGGACATATCAGACGACATAGCATGCGAGTAGAAAAGTCAAGAATGAACAAAATACCCGTGGCATACAGGTTTTCACACCGAGTCATCAATACTTGGAACCTGCTGCCCGGAGCAGTGGTGTCCGCACCTTCAATTGACTCTTTCAAGAGAAGGCTGAACACTTACGGAAGCCCACTAGAAAAGGAATAACACAAGCTGTATGTCTTCTGTCCTTACTACACAAATCTGGATCTGAAATCATAGTAATGAGGATAAAATGTATAAATGGGCTGAAAAAAATCCGAGAATGCAAAAGTCTTTTACCGATATGCAAAAAAACACAAAAGTAAAAATATGATGTTACAACAATGAGCAGATTCACAGTTTATTGTTTGGTGTACCATATCATGTCGGGCTAACCATTAAATATGCCACAACCTTAAATCAAAGTACAGATATATATCTATATCCCGCCATGAATCTTAGTGTAACTAATGTAGAAAAATCATGGCTGGATTGGCAGTATGAAAATAACATGTATATAAGCTATTCTTTATATGAGCGTTATAAATTGGACATCAAGCAGACTGATTATTTAAGGGTCAGTAAACATTCGCGGTCACTTAGGTTTGGCGTGCTTGCTAGTCGGCCATGGTGCAATCAGGAGCGAAAGCTAGAAGGACTGCCAGAAAAGGTGTTGCTACTCGTGAATATACAATTCATTTGCATAAACGCATTCATGGTGTTGGTTTCAAAAGGCGAGCTCCTAGAGCTATTAAAGAAATAAAGATGTTTGCTAAAAAGATGATGGGCACTGAAGATGTTCGAATTGGTGTGCGGCTCAATCAGTAAGCTCATATAGTTGTTCTTTTATGTATATATAGATTTATATGGTCCAAGGGTGTCCGAAATGTTCCATATCGTGTCCGCGTGAGGCTTGCGCGCAAAGCTAACAAGGATGCAGATAGTATACATAAGTTCTACACTTTGGTTACATTCGTGCCTTGTACTGATTTTAAAGGAAAGCAGATAATTAATGTTGAATCAGCAGAATGAGTTTGTTATAAATAAACTTATGGACTGGACTACTAGCTAGTTGAATTTATTTCCTATACGTGGGAGGCTATAAAGAATAAACCTTGTCATTCCAATATGTTGAAGCCGTATATCGTGTACTGAAGCTTTATCATAGGAGACTTGTGCAAAGACGAGGTTTTATGAATACAGAATAACTTTGAAACCTCTGAAAAAGTACTTAGTCTGAGTTTCGTATAATATCACTCCTTTTCCTTGTTGATTGAATCGTTTGGTTTCATCAAATACAGGATGGTCTGCTTAGTAATTAATTTAAATAGGTCTTTGTCAAGTTTAAGCACCACTTCTAATTGTGCACTGTGTTTCATATTAAGGACGGTCTTCATAAAACTAAATTCGGCATCCTAAATCTTACCATGTAGAATATCTACTCAACGTTTCTGTCGTGGTTTGCTTTCTGGATTAAACTTATAATGTCGAGTTTGCTTCGAAGGGTCGGTTTTAAGTGTATTGAAGTGACAATATAGGCCTTCGAACCGCGACTTACTGCAGTTTCGTGTGAGTTGCTTTGTCCGTGTCTCAGGAATGGCTTGTTTTCAGATTTGTTCTGTGTTTTTGCTGTTTGGCAATAAAAGATATTAATATATGTTTTTGTAATAACCTTACTCATGTTGGTAACTACAGTTACAAACACTTTCCTTGTAGCTACTTGAAGCATGTCGACTTAGTCCGCATGTCTCAATAAAAGCAAACATTTTGAATACTTAGTTCCTTTCAGCAAAGAGCTAACTTGTTGACCATAGGTAGTTTGAACTTACTCAACTATGCAGGTGTTCTCAAACCGCTAGATTTTCCGTATCTTGTCCCGCAGTACCAGATAATTTCTTTTTCTTGAGAACTGTTATCTTGACGATTTAGCATATGGAAGTTTCTCGATATGATTGTAAATGCCAATCTTGCCTCTACTAATCCCTACCATGCATGGGGCAGTACTGCCTCACCAGACAAAGGGCGAGTGTACAGCCACGTAGTTTTCTCTGCTTCATTTGGGGCATACAAACCTAGGAAACACTCAAGCTACAATTGTTTGACCATACAATAAAACCAGCGGGTCGCTAATGGTAAAAGAGATGGATCCTCATCTTCTGGTTCGGTTAGGATGCGTTTTGGTATTGTTGGTTACCTACTTAGATGTACAACGTCAAATGTCACGAGAGGTCAGGAGTCTAGGGTTCATAAATAAAAAGTCGGTCTGTTTAGTCGTCTATTTGGTTAGACATATACCTTGTAAGACAGTACGCTCCCCACTCGGGATTAATAGACTAATTGCAACCTATGGCTAGAGTCGTTGAATATCAGTGCTCATAGTCAATTATTGGCGCAGTTGCATTCGCTTTTTAAATCTCGGATTGATTTCCCTAGCTTTACGTCCTTTGGTGGCGTTTATACCTTTCGAACTGTACGTATGTTCAGATTCCCCTTGTTCTCGGTGTAATTTTCCACAACGATCATCTCCATTCTGCCTACTCGGGACGTGGCAACTTGAACCGTTGCTAACTGGTGCTTGGTCTTACGTTGGTAGTTGCTGATTAGGTGGTTAGTATAGTTTATCATCTAATGATGTCACTGAATTAGTCAAGGCAGATTGGAACTATTGTTGCGTATGGTCATTGCAGACTAACGGTGGTTAAATTTGTAATCAGACAGAGGTTACATGAAGCCTGATATGTGTATGTGATCAGTGATCGAGGTGATGTAATAAAATATTTCCGCAGATTAATAAGAATTAGGTTCTAAGTGATTTATACAACTTGGACTGCGAACAAACATGACTTCATCTGAAAATGGAGCTCAATGTATATGTCTTAACGCACCATTCTCTTTAAAGCCATGTAACTAAGTAGTTCTGCAACTGGATTAATACTCTTTTAAATCGGTTATTTCAGACTTAGTTTCATTAATTGCTTTTACTGCCTTCGCCTCGTACTGGAATCATTTGTGATGATGACAGCGTAATTTTAATTAGTTTCATCAGTAATGCATATGGATTCTTCACATCCTCCTAACAACGGGTTTTCCGTCCTATTTGTTGGCAGAGTGTTTTTGTACGCAACCCGTCAACGGAAAGGTGTATACGTTTATTAGTTGTACGCCGTGAATGTTAGTTGTAATGACGATAATTCGTATACATGGTAGATTAATGTGTCCACTAACTGCAAATCTGGTAATGTATTGGCGTGTAGTCAGAAGGCGAACATTTAAGATACTTAATAGCGGTAATGGAAGTGAGGATTCTTTGCACTCGAGTGTCCGATTTTTGACCACATGATTTCCTCGGTCAATGCAAATGGTTGGTCAACGGTTCCAATACTCAACATGAAGAACTGGATTTTAAGGTTTTGTGGGGCCGGCAGGTTTTATTTTTGATTTCGCGTAATAGCATGTTCATTATTGATGTTACTACTGAGTTCTTACTCGATTATTGTATGACGTCTATTGTTGTAGTTACTTTTATGGGATCAGTTCCCAAATCCATTCTTACTTGGATATTTTAATTAAATTGCTATAATTAAGGAAGACTTGTCTATATCAGCCGTCACATCCGAATATTTGGGTTTCTAACATTACGTAGTTGTTATAACAATAAAATGACGCACGTTTCTAATATGTAGAGCAAATTAGTCCTTATAGTATTTCCGGTATTCAGCATTTCATGTACATTAACTTTAATCATACTTTGTTTGATTTCGCGTACTTGCGCATCTACTGTCGTAAAATGTGACAGTAAATTGTTTACAAGCTGGTTGCAACTTCTGTTGCTAGTAAGTATCGAACCGAGCTAGGTTCTAGACCAGCTAGCATTCCACCGAAAGTATAGATGAGCATTGGTTGCAATTGCATGAAGCCATGAAAATGGCGGGTAAAGTCACTTGTGGGTTCGTGAAACGTCCGCTTACAAGCACTGTGTTTCTTCAGGCTCCTTACAACTCATTGAAACCCGTCGGTCTGCTCCGGGTGACCGTGAGTTTAACCACAAACAAAAGATGTTACGTAAGGAAATCGGGCAAAGCTTGCTTAGGGAACGAGAAGCCTGGTGGTCGGAGCGTGATAATGAGCTGGAAGCAACAGCTGCATCTGATAACTACCGGAAGCTCTTCCAACTCATCCGAGCCATTGGCAGCAAGAAGTCTGGTGTGAGGTAAAACAATCTGCAAGGGTGAAGGGATGCCAATCACTAACATGCACCGACGTCGTGGACGATGGGCAGAATTCGAAGGGCAGTTCAACTGGCCTGCTGCTCCGGCAACATCGGTCGGACTGTCCTGTCCTCCATAGCCGTTGACGACTGATCCACCAAACGAAGAGGAAGTCCGCAAGGAACTCCAACTCTTCAAACGCTACAAATCACCTGGCCCAGATGACTTATCTCCAGCTCTTTTTAAAGATGGTGACTTTCTGACTAAGGAACTGACGACGTTGTTTACAAAGGTCTGGGAACTAAAGAGTGTACCAACATCATGGAATGAGTCGATAGTTGTCCCTATCTTTAAAAAGGATTCATGTCGTCCCTGTAACAACGATCGGGGGATAAGTCTACTTCCGATTGCGTCCCAGCTATTGGCTTCCGTCATACTTCGTAGGTTGTTCAAAACCCGAGAAAGATTGACTCGCGGGTGGTAGGCTGGTTTTCGTTCTGGTCGAGGATGTATTGATCATATCTTCACCCTCCGCCAAATGTTTGAACACCGTCATACTTATCAAAGGCCAACAATCGTAGTGTTTCTTGACATCAGGGCTGCCTTCGATTCGTTGGACAGGACTGTTCTCTGAGATTGTCTATTGAAGAAGGGTGTGTCTGAGAAGTTTATTAACATCCTAAAAGCCCTATATACAAACACCTCAGGCAGAGTGAGGGCATACAACCACCTTGCTCCATTGTTCCATTCAAGCAGTGGGGTTAGACAGGGTTGCCCAATCTCACCATTCCTCTTCAACTTTGCCATCGATGACATTCTGGGAACAGCCCTGATGGGTGTAATTAATGGCGGTGTGAATCTATTGCCTCGAGAAAGGCTTCTCGACCTTGAGTATGCGGATGATATTGTGTTACTGTGCGATAATTCCCAAGGCATGCAATCCGTACTTAATCACTTGACAATCAGTGTCCGTAGGTATGGCATGTGCATTGCAAATTCGAAGTGCAAAGTACTTCTACAAGACTGGCAGGATTCTAATCCTGTACTCACTCTACATGGTGAGCAGATAGAAGTAGTCGAGAAGTTCGTGTATCTGGGTAGCTGCATAAGTGCTGGTGGTGGCATGAGTGATGAGACCAATTCACGTATAGTGAGAGCCAGAGCGGCTTATGCCAATCTGGACCACATTTGGCGCCTTCGTGATGTCAGTCTGGTTGTAAAAGCTCGGATCTACAACGTGTCGGTGAGGGCAGTGTTGCCCTATGCTTGTGAAACCCGGCTTTTGAGTTGAGGATGTTAGACGGCTCTCTGTGTTCGATTATCGCTGTCTCCGAAGGATTGCTGACATCCAGTGGCAACACCATGGTAGTAATGCAGAGGTCCGGCATCGTGTGTTCGGGTGCAGAGACGACAATTCAATTGGTGTCACCATCTTGAAACACCGACTTCGGTGGCTTTGACATGTTCTACGAATGTCGTCCCAGAGAATTCCACGTCGTGCATTATTTGCCGACTCTGGGACTGGTTGGAAGAAGCGGAGAGGTGTTCAGTGTATGACATGGTATCGTGGTATGAAAGGAATCTGCCAAGGGCTGGCCTGTGTTGGTCCTTCACGACTGCCTGGCTGGGGTCCGAGAGATGGTGCAACACAGCTGCTAGAGACGTTATCAGATATGGTCAGTGGCGATCCTGCTGTAAACTCTTACTTTGTTCATAAAAAGTGGTTGCTTCTTCCTTAACTGAAAGATTTCTTCTGATTGTACTTTTCTTTTCCCCCATTATTATTATTACGCTACCTTACCTTATTCTGTTCGTCATTGTTTTGTTTTTTTTAACGCTCCTCACCTTTTTTCCTTCTCCTCTTCAAATTCCCATTGTTTTGTGTGGCGCATATATATTTGGTGCTCTCTTGTACCAATATTAATGTGTTCAAATAAATAAATAAAATTACACCTATACTTTGTTGCTTAATTATAAATGATAGGGATAAAACGAGTTAGTGTTAGTAGTGGTGTCTTTTATGATGTAGATTAAATCATAAAGGCTGGGATAATTTGTCATTCTGATTTATTTTTGGAGAGGTATTTCAAAACGTATCTGTTCCGGTCACCTCATTCACTGTATTCCAACTGGGGATAGTGTAAGGAGTGAAAATAACATTACCAACACTAGTGGGAAACCGAAGGATAAAAAGTACGTAGAGAAGGTAGTCGGTTAACGAATAGCATATGATGATACAGTATTCAGAATTTGTACAGAGTTGTACCGAGTTTGCTTTTTCTAATGGTCCTGACGCATACCACCAACTACTAATTAACGTTATCCATCTGACTTCAAGTACTCTTCATTTATACACGCTTGATAACAACTGGTAGTAATTTCGTAGAAAGATATGCCTTGGTCTGATTATCAATGGCGCATTTGAACTCCCCCCTGGAAATAGCGCGCTAGCGTTGTCGCTATCTTAAATTTTGAGCAGTATATGTTAGAATTAAAATTTAATGAGTTGTTTCAGCTTCAGAACATTATTGGAGGGAGCCGTAATGAGGCAATAGATGCCGACAAACGACTTAGTATGTTGAGGGTGGGTAAGTGTAGTCCTCTCATCGGATGTTCTTATACGACAACTTGTTTGTAGACTGCCAGTCCAGTCCTACTCGTTGTCTTTATGTGGTGAGAGTGAAGACAAAAGTAGAAGTTCAACGCATAATCTGGGTTGGTAGTTACAGCAATCATTCGTAGGGGAGCTAGGATTGTCTTGATTAAGAACAAATTGTGTGGGTGGGCTGCAGGATTCTGAGGAGACAAATGGCGTATGAACCTATTTTAGTGACTGGTTAAGGTGGAACTGCTACTCCTGACATTCCTCTGCTTCTTTGTGGAGTAGGTCGAAATTTCAGGGGATGCTCCTCTAAGAAAGCCACCTGTTTTGACCTGAGCGTTCGAGCAATATCCCGTCCATTTTAGTTATTTATTTGAACTCATAAACATTGGTACAAGAAGTACCAAATACATATGCGACATATAATAACAATCAAATTGTGAAAGAATCGTAATAAAAAGAACAGATGAACAGATAAGCAAACAATGAAGTATAGAAAGGATACCTATATTAAATATTTAGAGTAATCACAATACTGAGAAACATTTTGCTGATTGAGTTCTTCTGCAAACTACCAAATCTGAGGTATGGGTTATAACGGTTGAAGTGATCGAGGAATTATGATGTCATTCGTATATACTCTGCACCGAATAATGCATTTGTCATATGTCAGCACCTGCAGGTGACTCATGCTGAATAGTCTCATATAAATGAGACATGTGAATATTGCTGCTAACCAAAACCAGGTATTATCGACATCCCAACAAATAATTCATTTGTAAAGGTTGTTTAATTCTTCCAGCTGTTAATGTCCGACTGGAACTGATCAGTCTCACCATATTCGCATCCTGTGTAGATTGCCTTTGTATCGCCTATAATCTACTAGCATTTTGTGCGGAGTTGGATAGTGAATAGCAGTGGGATCCAGGACACGCGTTTCGACATATGCGGTCTGATTCACTCGTATATAAACTGAGTATGTCTGAAATGCATGGTTCATACAGTGGAAGCTAGGATTGTGTTCTGGACTCAGCGAACAGGGCTAGGCTAGAAGGCTCAATAAAGATCCAGAGTTAGCCCGAGGCTGCTCGTGCTGGTTAAAGCGCCATTGGTTTGGCACAGGGTGACGGTCGTATAAGTCGGTGTTCTGATTATCGATCTCGTCACGTGATAAGTAACAGTGCGAAAGACATAACAAACTCAATATGCCAGAAGGTGCTCGACGGCAGGAGCCATCAGCACAGATAATAGATTACCCACTGTGAACTTAGACAAGATCATGAGAAGGAAAAAAATAAAACAGCCGTTAACAAGAGCCGAACAGCAGCAAAGAAAGCCGAAGCACATTGCGAGTATACAGAAGCGAACGATTGGGTGGAAGGGAGCATGGGGGTTGACAATCAAAAATATGTAGAGAAACTGGCAATTACGGTCGAACAAGCAGCTAAGAAAGAAAACACGCGAGAAGTATACAATACATTCAGGAAGCTTGCAGGGAAATGTAGTAGACCAGAACAACCAGCCAAAAACAAGAGGGATCACCAACGAATGAGGTACAAGGGCAGTTGGACGGGTGGGTAGATCCCCTTGAATAACCCCTGAATAGACCAGCGTCACTGAACCCATTGAACATCAAGGTAGCACACACAGACATCCCTATACATGATACCTCACTAATAATCGAAGAATTCAGCACGGTTATCAGACAAATCAGAAACGTTAAAGTAGAATGACCCTCATATCATTCCGGTTGATCCATTAAATTCAGATATTGAGGTGAATGTGAAGATGCTCCACATTCTCCGCAGGAAGAGCTAAGAAGAATAAGTGCCATCAGACTGAAAAGAGAGATTCTCCTGAAAAATACCGAAGAGGGGAGATCTAAGTGAGTGTTATAACTACATAGCAATCAAATTACCGTCAGTACCAAGCAGAGTTTTCAATGGAATTTTGCTGAACCGAATGTAAGGTTCAGTAGACGCCCACTACAATCACCATCAGAAAAGCACATTTATGAAGAGCTATCTACTCAAGATACTCCAGCTCCGTTGGACATTGATCGTCACCAACAACCCACTCTGACAGCAAATAAACAAGCTTCTATTTGAGAAGGATGTTAGGAAAAATCACTGGGGGTGTATAGAACACACTTTATAGAAAATTGAGAAATAGACTAAAGGGCATGAACTGATTTCAGGCAGTTATACAATTGGGTAACTCAAACAGAGCTAGTCCAACTGATGGAGTGGACTCCACCGAATCACTTGTCTACAGTTCATCTGTTCGTCTCTTAATTAACGGTCCTGTGTTTGATCGACCTGGTGGGGTTGTGTATGCACACCAGTGACAAGTTTCATACTAGTACAAAATAGCTGTCCAATGTTTATTTAACTACTGTCAGTCCTTGATTTAAACTAAGTAAATTCAACAACTTCCTTGAAACTATCATACTAACAAATCTATTTTGTTTTTTCCCAGTGTTTCTAAATTCACATGCTATTACTTTAACATTGTATTTATTTTAAACTTAGTCATTCACTTTATAGCACTAATTTAGATGTATAACTGTGGAAATTGATCAGTAGATTCTTAATTCATTCATTTGTGAATCTTATGATTGATAGGAATTTGTAAAACACTTAATAGGTAAAATCATGTGTCGCTCAATTTCGTGAATTAATTGAAATTAGACATGAACACCGTTGGATCCCAGCTGGCTCAGTGGTCTAGTGTTTAAGCGCTCGCAAGCGAGACTGATAGGTACTGGGTGCGCGCTGTTGAGGAGTCTCACAATAGGAAGAAACAGTCACCCAGTGCTTCCAGGATTTCCATGCTGGTCTAGCTTCGATTGACTCATGATCTCAACTATTGAAATTACTACAATCTCCACAAAACCCCTTCTGATACTAAAAAATAATCATTAAACAACTCTTCTAAGTGATATACATATTTATATATACTTGTTATCTCAGTAGTTAAATAAAATGTATTTCACATTATTACGTAACATAGTTATTATTTCAAAGCCTTATTCATTGCAACTTTACATGAAATTAGTATCCATCTATAAATTGAATATCCGATATTTAATTATTATGATTTTTTCGTGTAAAAGTTATGTAACTAAACTACTTTAACTTTTTAGAATCACCAAAATTATTGATTTTTTTTATTACAATTTTTTAATTAAACATTCGTATTGAATATTGAATGAAATAAAAAAAAATTATTCAATAATAATAAGAACCTTTTATGATAGTATCCATTTTGGAACAATAAAATGGTGGTCTTCCATCCTCTGCATATCTACCAAATATTTTATTATCATAGTATACTCCAAAATTTGTTAAGGGTGTAAAAAAATCAATATTTCTAGCAAGTGGTATTATACCAACAATAAATGAATATCTTGAATGTCCAGGACGTACATGTTTATCTGGATATTCTTCTGGACTGGGATTATATGTCTTTAACCAACACTAAAATTTTAGAAGAAAAAAAAACACATTTAAAATAGAAATGATAAATTTGATGTGAATGCGGTTTGTGGAGATTGTAGGAGTTTCAATAGTTGAATTCATGAGTCGATGTAAGCTAGATCACCATTGGAAACTTGGAAGAACTGGTTGGCTGTTTCGTCCTAGTATGGGACTTCTCAGCAATGTGCATCTACGATTCCGCACGCGGGATTTGAACACAGGACTTTCGGTCTCGCGCACGAATGCTTAACCTGTAGACCACTGAGCCATCATCAAACGGTGTTAATGTCTAACTTCTATCGATTCATGAATGACTGGGCAACCATTCATCCATTGTCTGAAATAGATACCTGTCTCTATCCGGCACGGATTGATCTTCTCTGATCACAGCTTCTCACTAGAACTTCAGGAAATCATTTTGGAGCCAGTCACTAGTGAGCACATGATGATTATGATCAGAATGAGGTTTGTGGAAATTGAAGTAATTTAATGGTTGAATTCATGAATCGACTCATTCTGACATTTTTAAATATCACATGTCAAACTCGACATTTTTACATTTTTCATTTTAATAAAAATAATATATTTGTAACATCCTAATGACTAAAAAAAATTAAATTTTTTGACGTTTCGTGACCCAGTGTAGGACACTTCTTCAGAGAATAAATAAGTTACTCCAAGTTTAAATAATACAAAGGTCCCTGTGTAACCTGAAAATTTAATTTTTCTACTCTACAAATGTAGTATTTTTTTATTAATAACAAACAACCCTATATTCAGTTTACTTCAAATTATCAAGTGGAACCAAGGTAATGACAACTACAAACACAGTTTTATTTATTAGTCAGTAAATTTGATATCTATTTCATCGCTTACTGGCTATAACTGACTACAACAGACATATATAGTATCTAACGCTAATCAGAAGTGGGATACCTGGCAGCATTAAGTTAAGAAGATAGAATTGAAGAGAACAAAAGCGTAAACAGATAGCAATTGCTACAATAGCAGGAATTGTAGTGAACAAGAACACTTGTGTAGACAACCGAGTGTATTTGAACGAATCTTACTAAAACTTGAGAACCAAACAGTAAATACTTCATTTGCAAAATATCAATCAGTTGTCTCAAACTTGACTGTTCCTTTTGCAAATATCAACCCATCTTCTCAGATTTCATTGTGCCTACATTTTTATGCCAATTGCTTCCCGTTCGCTTTCTTTCCTCCTCGATCTCCTACTGAAATACATTTTATTTCTGACTATCCTTATATGCTACTTATATGGATATAAGTAGCTGACATAACAGATCGAAGGATTGATGAAGTTTGTAAGTGACAACTGATGGAAGATGTGCAAATGAAGTTTATTATGTGTAGTTTTCATATTTTACCAAGAAATTCTATAACTTTGTAGTACACAATAATTTGTTTGTCCTCACTTGAGTTCTCGTTCACTACACATATATTTTATACAAGTTAATCAAACTACTCAAATAAATTAATTAAAATAGGAAACTTGAATTCATCAATATCATGGACTGATAACCGTTGAAAACCTGAAAAAATTGGGCAGCTACTTCAATCTGTTGTGGGGCTTCTCATGGTTTGGGATTCAAGATTCCACCACCAGCGTCCAAAATTGTGTGCTTCAATACCGCGCTCAAATGCTTAACTTCTATGCAACAACTTCTATGTACAAGTTCAACAACCGCCCGAGACCCCATTCTAATAATCTTCATGGGCTCACTGGTAATTAGCTTCAAGAGAAAAATTGCTGAATTCTAGCCAAAAGTCATGGTCAATAGATTTCGACAATTCAAGGTGTGAGGAAGGCACTCACTGAACACAATTAAAGATGTTAGCTAACTATCAAGGATTGATTGTATTTGGACTTGTATACTATTGTATACCGGTTCAGCGTTCTTGCATGATGCTTAAGTCTCTGGATCTTATCCCTGGTGGTAGAGTCTTAAATGCTCACTTTAGACAAGTTCCATCCTGTTATGAAGCGACCATCTAGTGCTCACAGGTTTGCAATGGTTATATAATTTATTTCATTCCGCGATCTCAATAACATATAATATTCTGCACAGTTCCTATGGTTATTATATAGATTTAAGTAATCTAATTATTGACTAGTTATGGCGTCAATCAATCAATAATTAGTCTGCAACTGAAAATTATTCTGCTCATTTTAAAAATCTCATATATATATATACCATTAAAATTCTTTTAAAAAATGAGACAAATAATTTATTTGTAATCTAAAAACGTTTTTATCTATAAGTAAATATAGATAGTGGCTAGCAGTGGAATTCAGGACGCACGTTTCGTCCTATCTGGGACGCGTCAGCTAGATGTACTTGCATCTCAGAGTTGATGTTCACTATGCGACTCAATAAGACCAAAATAGGACAAAACGCTCTTCCTGAATTCCACTGCTAGCCACTATCCAACTTTGCTTATAATACTTGTGAATTAAGGTAAAATCGAGGCAAGATAATCACCGCAATTCAACAACAGAGGAACTCTTGAACAGATCAGCTCCACTGAATCCATCGAACACCGAAGCAGCGCCTACAGACCTTCCTATATATCACTCCGCCAACGATCAAAGAAATAAGGGTGGTCACCTGACAAATGAAGAGTGAGAAAGCAACAACACCTGAAAATACGCCAGCTGAAGCACTGAAGTCAGACATAAAAGTAAATGCAAAGATGCTCCATGTTCTATTCAGGAATATTTGGGAGGAAGAACAAGTACTGACGGACTGGAAAGAATGACATCTCATCAAGATACTCAAGAAAGGAGATATAAGCAAATTAGAAAACTACAGAGAAATCACACTATTGTCAGTACCGAGAAAAGCTTTTTACAGAGTGCTTCTGAACCGGATGAAAGACTTAGTAGACGCCCAACTTTGAGATCAACAGTCTGGATTCCGTAAAGATCGGTCGTGCAAAGACCAAATCGCGATACAAAGGATCATCGTTGGACAATCAATCGAATGGAACTCGTCACTATACATCAACTTCCTTGACTATGAGAAGTGGTATGACAGTGTGGATAGGAGAACATTATTGAAACTTCCTCGATACTATGGTGTGCCTGAGAAGATCGTCAATATCATACGGAACTCATACGATGGACTACAGTACAAAGTTATGCATGGAGGACAGCTGACAAGTGCATTCCAAGTGAAGACCGGAGTCAGGCAAAACTGCTTACTCTTTCCCTTCCCCTTTCTTCTGAAGGTCGACTGGATTATAAAGACATCGACATCTGAGAGGAAACACGGAATACAATGAATAGCTCGGAATCAGTTAGAATACTTGGACTTCGCAGATTACCTGACCCCTCTATCCCATGGACATCACCAAATGCAGATGAAGACAACTAGTGTAGCAGCAGTGTCTGCATCAGTAGGCCTATATATACAGAAGGAGGAAGGCAAGATCCCCAAATACAACACAGAGAACACCAACACAATCACAGTTGATAGAGAAACTCTGGAAGATGTGGAAAGTTCCACGTGTCTGTGTAGTATCATCGATGAACATGGAGGATGTGATGCAGACGTAAAGGCGGGGATTGGCAAGAAAAGGACAGCAATTCCACAGTTGAAGAATATTTGAAACTCAAAACAACTGTCAATCAATATCAAAGCCACTATCTTCAATACTAACATCAAGACAGTGAGTTCTGTTATATGGAACTGCCACAACCATCATCAAGAAGGTACAAGTATTTGTAAATAATTGTGTGCGTAAGATACTGAATGTCCGTTGGCCGGACACCATCAGCACCAGTCTACTGTAGGAGAAAACAAACCGGCTTCGAGCTGGGAAGGAAATTAGGAAAAGACGTTGGAAGTGGATAGGACACACATTGAGGGAATCACCAAACTGTATCACGAGGAAAGCCTTAACTTGGAATCCTGAAGGAAAACATTAAAAGGGAAAACCAAAGAACATACTGCATCGGGAATTGGAAACAGACATATCAATAGCAAATGAAAATAATTGTCCGGGACAGAGTTGGATAGAGAGTGCTGGTGAGAGGCCTATGTTCCTCCAGTGGGGTAAACAAGGGTAAATAAGTCCTGGCTTCGGTGGGTTTTGAAAAAAGATAATTTCTTCATATGATCTATGACATCCAAGAGTCTTCGTAAACCCCATACAATTGAAGGTTATGTATTAGAGGTTTTTTTAAGTGAAGTCTTTGCTATTTAATCGCACACTCTTTTCATCATTTATTACATGAAAAACTAAACATGAATTATTTACATGAGAAAGACGATTATTCAATCAAGAAAAGTCAAATAAAGTCAAGTTTAATTTGTCGACCTAATAAAATGAACTGATCAAGTTAATATTGAATATTTAGATAATCAATTAATGAAAGCCTACGACAAAACTATTCTATAATACTACTGAAATGAGTAGATTTTGAATATTCCATCTAAATCATATTCACAAAATAAGACTTTTCAAAACTCAATTTTATAAATTAACTTACTTCAAATATTTTATCTATAAATATATGATGTAATATAAATAATGGATCATTGCTTGCTGTCGCTGTACAACACATACTTCCATCAATCAATACATGTATTTTATTATGAAACCATCTATGATTTGGATCAGCACCAGGTCGACCGCAAAATCCTTCTAATGCGATATTAAATGATAGACATACAGAACTGAGACGTTCACCAGGAACATGAAATCTATATGTATATATAAATAATTAAAAATATTCACTCAGTGTTGTTTTGCAGCAAAAGTGTGGTAAACCATTCATTTTTAAATATTATTAATGATGAATTAGTTACTTATCTCTAAGATTTAATTTGTAATTATTGGAGAATCTGTTTAATTACTAATTCATGACATTGATTATGCATTTATCTAGTTGATGGTTGTATAACACAAACTTTCACTTATCAATTGAAAAGTGAATAGTTTGATGGGGTTTATTTTTCTCTGAATTGAATGGTTTGGTGATCGTGGAGCTTTCATTGTTCTTCTGAACTATATCATCAGCACAGAATTCAAGTAGAATAAAACTCCATCAAAACCATCCATCTAAGCTACAAATCTTCTTGACAATCTTGAAGTTAATACTATATTAGCAGGGTTACAGCTATACAAAATGATGATGTTATCAATTAATGAATGTTTACTTATTCAACTAAATAATATTGGATATTTATTTCATTAAATTAGAACAAAATTGAATATGGTATCTGATGTGTCTTCCCAAATAAACGCTACTTGTTATATCTGATCGTCACAGATTATTATGCCGCTTATCACTTGTATACTTGTAAAGCGAGGAACCACTGCAATTCTCACGACGTAAAAGTAAGAACACGAAAACTGGTACAAATGAAGATTTACTAACCCTAATTCATTAGTCAATAGGTTAATAGTTTATATTCGCTTATAGAAACATCTATCAGTATAGGATTGTGGAGATTATTAAGGTTTTGATTGAGATCATGAACCGATTGATGTTAGACCACCACTGGAAACCTGGAAGCACTGAACGGCCGTTTCGTCCTATTGTGAGACTCCTCAGCAGTGCGCATCCACGATCCCGCCCGCGGGATTCGAACCCAGAGCGTCTCGTCTTGCGCGTGAACGCTTAACCTACTAGATCACTGGGCTGGCATGATGCCAGCCGTCCAGTGCTTCCAGGTTTTCAGTGGTGGTCTAACATCAGTCGGTTGAAGATCTCAATCAAGAAACATCTATGTTTATCATTCTGCTCATCATTTTTGTATTCAAATATTTTAAATGTTTTTTCACTTGTTAATTATGAAGTAGAAATTATTTTCAAAACTCTGAAATCATATTTTCATTCAAACAGTGTCGACTGTATAATAATCAGTTTGTTGTAGTTAAACGTAATGAAAATTGTACATAGAAAAGCAACTGGATAATTTGTATTGAGTTATATCGAGAAATATATACATGATGTTATAAACAAGAATTGACTACACAATGACATAATGCTCGTGACTTGAGACAGTACCGAGGCAATCCGTACAGCGTGCTGCACATATGCCAATAAGAGACTGATCAGTTACAGTCATAAACATTAATCGGAACATTCAAGTATACAATACAACATGAATTGAAACTTGATCACATTGCACAAGCCAGTGGCTATGACGACTCATTAACTGAGTGGATAACATGATGGCGTTTGAAACGAACGGTACTGGGTTCGAGTCCTGGAGTAAATATCAACTATGAGATGCAGGTACATCCAGATGACGAGTCCGAATGGGACGAAACGTGCGTCCTGCATTCCACTACTAGCTACCATCCATCTTTGCTTATAATGCTTATGACATCGAGGCATTCCACACAGAATACATATATGTCAATAAGAGACTGATCAATTGTGCAGTCATGAAGATTAATGAAAAGATTCAAATAAACATTAAAAATGAATTAATAATCCTGAAAGTTATACAAGTAAATGATTGGTAAAAATGCTTTGTGTTTTTCCAATAGCTTGTAGCTACTGGTCTTCTTATTTTTCAATTCTGATTCAAAACCATTGAAGAGCTCGGTGCTAAATATTTTAAAGGAGTTTACACTGTTCAAATTAGTCAACCGAAAAAAAAACTTGTTCAAATGATACTAGATTAGTTGAAAGGGAATCTTTACGTTATGTAACTTTTATGTGGTATATGCATAAGCATAAATATTTGTCTACTTACTGTTTTAAGCTTAAAACGAATTTCAAATCCTCTACATCCGGAAGGTTCCCTTTTTTAAATTCCCGTGTAATTATTCCTTTCTTTCCACCTCTCTGACAACCAGAACAAAGCAAATCTTTCATTGGTTCATAGCAGTACTCTGTTAGATTACTAAATGGTGATCCAGATGATATATGTAATCCCATTTCACTGCGTCTACCCGGTGCGCCAATATATCTATTTGTACATATATCACAATGACTTAAACCGATCCAATCCCAATATGGTGTTGCATAATCTGATATACCAAATACTTGTATCGCAATTTTTGTCATCAATCTCTCCCATAACAGATTATAATAACGATGCCAAGTTGGAAAACAAACACCATCATGATTGAAATTTAATATTCCATAATCTTCACAATCCTGAACATTTTTATACAATGTACTACGGCTACCATAACGATGTAAATAAGTAATGTAATATTGAACAGAAGCATGTTCTAATTTAGGTTTTGTCAATGGATCAACATTCCAGTTATCTGATTCATCAATTAAAAGATAACCAGATGGCCATGTTTGACTTAATACAATTAATCTTTTAAATATATATAATTCCCTATCAGTTAATGTTTTTATATCGCGTCGTATTTTAATTGAACGTTTATTACAATGTTGACCTTTCCATCCAAACCAACATTCATCACAAGCTGCACCAAAATAATTACCAAAACATTGACAAAAATATGTAAAATAACGTTTTGGCCAATCAATTCTATCATCTATTAAAAATACACTTGGTACTTTCTCTTTAGGTGTCCATATTTGTATACATTCACCATATTTTGGTCCACCGCATACTTTACCATTAATATTACTTAATGGACAACATACTGGTATACGTCTAGTTAAATTATAACCACATTGTACTGGTATCATTCCATATATTATAATGAATTGATTCAATAATGATAATATAATATAAATGAATGTTATTATTGTAATCATTTGTAATATAATATAATAAAATCTATGTAATATAAATCCAGATATAATTGTAATTGTTACCAAGATAATAGAAATTAATTGTATGAATAATTTTCCAAGTAATATGTTCTGATCACTATTATTGATTATTAATAATCTATTAAGTATTGATTTTTAAAGAAAAACATTTTTTAAAAAAGTAGTATGATTATTGGATCTAAGAATAGAGGAATAGACTTATTAATGTTGATGAATAGATAGTAAGAGGAGAGTGCAATTCTAAGTAGATATAGTAGAAGTAATAGTAGTAGTAATAGTACTAGTATTAGTATTAGTAGTAGTAGTAGTAGTAGTAGTAGTAGTGGTAGTAGCAATAATAATGATAATAGTAGTAATATAGTTATAATGGAAGAAGTAAGAACTGTTGTATAAAAATGCACTTTATAATACTGCACCATTCTATTGATATAACTAATATAATTAATGTACTTAACTGTTTATTGTCTATATATTGATAGAATATATATGTGAATGAATTATCTAAATAAGAACAATATTTCTACGAGTATATCTTTGCTACTAATAAAATGTTATTTGAAAGTACTAAAGATTACATTATTACGTAATCATTAGATACAAATCTTAGGAGTTAATATGAAATACAATATACAAATTGTATGACGCTTTGTAATTTACCATTGAAATTCTGAAAAGCTTTGTCTATTATATATATCATCTTTCGTATTATCTTCTTGTTGGAAAAAGTTCACAACGACTCCAAATTAACAATGAGGGCGAAAGAAACGAAATAGAACATGTCACAACTGAATGATAAGTCGGTATGAAACAAAACTGCTGGAAAAAATGACACAGGAAAGAAATGACATTTGAAGGTACAGAATCAAATATTCGTGAAATAATCAATGATTTGTTAAATAACAAGACCGATGGAAACAAGTGGAATAAAATATAGGATACAAGTCATAAATTCGCAAGAAAAGGACGAGAAAAGAGCGGGCGAGAATTTTTGAAAAACCAGAGAAAAAAAACAGACATGCAAAACATGGGAGACGAGAAAAAAAAGAAAATGAATTAGCTAATAATATGACAAAAATCTAGAACACTAAAACATACGTAAAGAAAGAAAAAAAGGAAGAAACCATCAAAGCAGAGAAATTCATCAAAAGCGGCAAAAAAGAGGGACGAAAATAGGAATATGAGATGTGCACAATTACAACGAGGAGTTCGCATACCACTGAGAAAATCCACTCACAACGTCACTCGAATCCACTCGATTCACCAATGCAATAATGACCAACTATCATCAGAAACACTTTCACACGAAACACCAAACACACACACAAATATATACACACGCACACACATAATTGCAAGCAGGCAGGCATGCGTGTATGCATGCATGCACACACATGCATACACTCAGTCAAGCAGAATCTTCGCCATATCGATCAACAAACCGACTACGAGTGAACACCACAGTCCACCAATGCCTATTCCAAGCATATACGAGTGTGATTGGTTTGTTTGGAAATGAGTTACCTATCGCTTTCTCACCAATCATAAGTGTCGCGTTCATCAGACCGATCAACTGTCAGGTTGTGCCAGTCATACTGGAATCATTGTGAACAACGGTGTTCAGATTGCCCTCTTCTCTATTCACCTCTCCTCTCCCCTGCTCACATCACGTCACTTCGCATCTCCTCCTAACTGATCCCCTCCCACCCTATGTTGGCTCGTCGCACGGAACCTCATCAAACCAGATTATATCTCATCCACCGCATTCGGTGGGTTTCGTCGACACGTGGATGGCAAGTCAGTTGTGGATCACGTCAACTCTCTCGTCTGTATGGGTCTCGCCAACTCGCCACTCCCATATTGATCTCATCGATGTGTGTGTTGTGCAGTTCACTTTGCTACGTATTGATCGAGAGGACTGGAAACGTCGGTCGATTATGTGTGCGTTTTGACTGTGAATGTCGGGTGCGTGTCTGTGATCGTAATGCACACAAGACTGGGTATGTGTATGTGGTGTGATGTGATTTCGGTTGTTGTGTGCAATGTAGTTAGAACTAGTTGACAGTGTATTGGGAAGACGAGACATGGGACGAATTCGGTCAGTGAGATGAGTGAAGTGGAGAATGATTTGCACCAGAGTTCAGGAGATAATGTGAGAAGTTGTGTGTGAAATTCACCGATGACTCGATGTTTACAAGCTTCTAAGCATCCGTATACATACATGCAAATATACACGATTGGTTACGTGACTGTATGTGGTTGCTGCAATGTTGTGGATTGAGGTGTGACAGTTGTAGACGTTGGTATGTGTGCAGATGAACGTGTCTCGGTGTGTTTTTGGTCAGGTGGGTGAACAGAGAGACAGGAGAGGCCCAGTTTTTGCTTGTTGGTTGATGTTTGTGGTGTCGACTGAGTTGTTGTTTTATTCAGTGTTGTTCGTTGTGGAAAGTATGTGTCGGAGGTGGGATTCGAACCCACGCCCACATCGTGGACCAGAACACCCAGAAGAACACTCTTGAGTCTGGCGCCTTAGACCGCTCGGCCACTCCGACGTGCGGTGCTCCGCTCACCATCATCACTATCACATCATCCAT